TGAAAAAAAAAAAAAACCCTTCCTAAGGGATCATTTTGGACGTCCAAAAATGTTCTTTAAAATTTTAGAAGGTACTTAGTAACAAATAAATATCAGTTCTACCCTATTCAAATTGATTTATAATCATTTCTAAGGAGAATCATTGTATGACAATTTGACATTTGTAGAATCGTTTTTAAATTTAGTGCAACCAAACAAACAAGTATTTTAAATATAAAACTAGCTTATAGAAATCATTTTAAAAGGTATATACCAAATTGACCCTTAATCTTCTGAGCAAAATTACGTAATAGCTATYGTTGATGCATGATTATAGATGAGGTGMCGTATCAATGTTGGATTCGAAGTTGAAGCCTAGTAACCTAAAGTGATGACTTGCAAACAAAATCTTGCACCGATGTGGTGCGCTATCGCATACACTCCGAAGCTTAAATTAGTATTTAGTTTGAGATGATTTCAAGTCGATCGAGCTAAATTAGTAAGGTTGCATAGAGTTGCATACCTTTGTAAGGAATGAATTTTGTCTTTCAACAAGGGAACTTTAGAAAGTGTTACCCGCTCTGTACCCGACAGTTAGTGAACTTTACGTCGATGGCATCTGTGCGTCCACTCGATGCCAAGTTGGGCTTTCACCAGGTCAATCAAGGGTGAGTCATTGGTGTAAACCAAATGGTAGAATTCTATTGATTGAAAAACTATACAACAAATGAAGACAGTAACCCCTTTTATAGAAGAGGGCTACAAACATTTAACAAGAACTAACTAATAACACTTAACCAACTAACTTCAGCCTTTAACTAATAACTAATAAAACTAACGGGTTGGTAATTACATCAGTTTCCTTCCCTCTTAAAAAAGAACTCGTCCTCGAGTTTAAATGCAGTGGAGTTAGAAGGCTGTGAACAATCTTAAAAATGGAAAATTTGTCTTTTCTTGTGGTTCAAAAATACTTCAACCCAAAATACCCTTTTTAACTCATCCAAACAAAAATACTCCTTCTCATACCTACATTCTTGAAGTCTTCTGTGAAGGAAAGACTTTGTGGTATATTGTGGTATATTCTTGCTTCAAGCTTCTTTCATCTCCTTCCATCTTTGCACTCTTATCAGAATCTTCTTGATCAATATGATAGAAATAATCTACAAAACCACCGCAAAATTCTTCTTCTTTGCTGGAAAAATCGAAATCTTGAACCAAGAACCCATTGTTTTTGCTTTCTTGAGGTCTATCATGGTGGAAATGTTCCTCATCTTTCTCCTTCTCATTTTCTTGTTCAATTTGGAAGCCTTTTTGAGAAATTAAGGAATTGTGCCGGTTAACTTCTTTGCATTTCAACTTCCAAGAACAATGTAGCTAAAGAAAAAGTAGAATCATAATATCTTCCTATCAATTCTTTATCAACCTCATCTTCCTCCTCAAAATAATTTTTCCTCCTCAAAATAATTTTCAAACTTAAGAAAAAATTCGTCTTCTTGTTCAATGATTGTGTCACAAGGTGCTCTGATACCAATTTGGTGTAAACCAAATGATAGAATTTTATTGATTGAAAAACATATCCAACAAATGAAGACAACAACCCCTTTTATAGAAGAGGGCTTAGTTCACCATCTCCCTTTGGGGTCGGGGGTTGGCTCGAAAGTCGTGAAAAGATGGGCTCTCTAATGAAAAACTCACATTAATCAAGATAGGTCAGGTGTCCATCATGGAATTTGAACTCATTCCCTCCTAGTTACACTAATTCCTTTGGACCAATGAGCCACCCATGATGGTTATATATATATATATATCAGTATTTGTTTTCACTGMTTATTTATTTATTTATTTTATTTTGTACCAAAAATCCCACCGGTATGATTGATAACTTCATATTTTAGGTAGATTAACTATATGAGTATATACTTTATATCAATATATCAATTATATAATTTATATACCTCAACGACAAAACCATAAATAACAAAGAAAACTAAAATATGATTTAAAAAACCGATACTAAATAGCAACTAAAAATTTGTATCCATTTTTCGTGTCATGTTTGCAAAACTAAAAAGTTGTTGCTATATTTACAAATATGACGAATATTTTTTCTAATATTTTAAAAAAATAAATATACCCATACAGATCAACCACAAGTATATTTCGTTTCAAAAAAAAAAAATCCACAAGAATACTTGTGGCTGGCGAATCTGTCTAGAAAATATGTGAGTTGTGAAGGCAAAATAAAAATGCTGACTTTGCATGAACATTTAATCCCAAATTTGGCACTAAGCTATTCATCAAAGGCAGCAATGCAATATATTTTTTTCCTTAATTTTAAACAAAACACTATATATATATATATATATATATTTATTTATTTATTTATTTATTTATTTATTTATTTTGTATGCTGTTGATATTTTCCTATGGAAATTTTCATTTTTATGGTAATTATAAATTATAATAGGAGTTGGGTTAGTATCTAATCCATATTAATCAATAATTTGTATTTTTGAGAAAGAACTATTATCATAGTAATTTTCTCTGATTACTTGTTTTTAGTTTTACTATATTTGCAATAATTTTTTCAGTTGCTGTTTTTGTAATGATATTTTATTTAAAATTCGCTAAATTTCTGTTTGAAAAAATAAAATTACTTCAGGAAATCTATCATTTACATTTTCTAAAATTTAAAAATATTAAACTGTAAAATTAAAATGTATATTAAAAGTAAAATGCAATGTGTGGATTAATTTAGAGGTAATGTTTTAATCCAATAATACTGATATTGATTGACTTTCAAACAATATATGGAATCCAATATATTTTTTGTTTCGCAATAAAAATCTAATTTTCTTTCCATAAGTAAATCATTTTCTTATTAGAAGTTTAAGAAATACTTTGGAAATTGGAATTACCACCGAAAAGCATTAATCAAATTATTTAAAAAAAATCATTAATCAATATTATTGATTGTAATAACAATAAAAATTATTAATTACTTTATATTTTCTGAATTAAAAAAAAATCAAACGCTTCACAATTCCTTAAAAATCAATGTCCTAAAATCTCTCACAAAAACATTTAATTTGTCAATATCTTCTACACATATGGAAAAAAATTTACCCACATGACAATCTAATTTAGGAAAATAATTGCCAAAGCAACTCAATTAATTTTTTTATTCTTGCAATATCTCTATAGATTTTAATACAAAATATATAAAACTCAAAAGAGAAAAAAAAACAAAAAAAAAAACCACCCAAAATCAAAACTTCACCCATCTCTAAAAAAAACTAAATCTATTTCTTCTCTTTCTTTATTTAATTTTCATCAAATTTATGACAAACTAAAACATGAAAAATAAGACATTTTCTACAGACTAAATTAAGGAAAGTAATACTTCATGGATGAAGGAAAATAAAATAGAAAAGGAAGAACAGTTTGAATTCTGACAATTGATGAAATTAAAGGAATATGAAGAAAATTGAAATTCTAAACTATTAATAAAGCAGCAGCAGCCATGGCTCCAATGCCCACTGATCCGACCAGCGAGAATCGGTTTTTTAAGGCGTTGCTCTTATGTTTCGACGGCGCCAGTGCGTCTGCCGGCGGACCGGCGATCCACGACGGAGCCGGAGCCTGAGCGGGCGGCGGAGTCACCGGCGGAGCAGGGCTCTGAGTCTGCGGTGGTGGGGAAACCGGGGCTGCAGTTGGCGGTGCCGGCGGGACCACGGCTGTCGTCGGAGATGGAGACGGTGCCGGAGACGACGGCGGAGTGGGCTGTGGAGACGGTGCCGGAGACGACGACGTCGGAGGTGTGGGAGGCTTTGGATTGGGGGTCCATCTCCAGGGCGGTGAAGGGGTGGCCATCGGAGAAGGCGAGGGTGCCGGCCGGGGAGCGGCGGCGGCAGAGGCGAGCAGCGCCGCCGCCATCAGGGCGTTAAGAAGGGCTGAGTGAGGCATCGGAGGCAAAGGGATTTTGGGATTAAGAATTAAGACAAACGGCCAAATAAATAGGAGAGGTTTTGGGGCGAATTTATAAATTATGTTCAATATTTGGTAATATTCGTAAATTCAATAATATAGTGCGACAAAATTTTTCCTTATTTCATGCCTACTACAAGAAAATGAAAAAAAGGAATACCCTCAATTACCGTATAAAAAAAAAAGGATAATTTTGCACCGTTGGATGTTAAAAGAGAGAAATTAATTATTCCAATATGTATTTTAATCCTGATATACAAATTTCGAATTAGCATTTAAGGGATAGTAAGGAACAGAGGTGTTAAAAAAAAACTAAATAAAAAAAATATATATCTAATAGGTCTGTATAAATTTTCAAATAGGCTCTTAAATTTAAATTTAAAACTTGTCAACTTTAAATTTTTTATTTAATAATTTATTATATATTTTAAAAAAAAAATTAAAGGAGTTAGCTATTAGACACGATAACATTGTAGTAAGTTTTAAGGACTTTTTAGATGTTTTTTAAAATTTAAAGACATATTAAACACAAATACAATTAGTCTATCTCCATCTTCCCTCCCCCTTCCCATTGAAATAGACAAAATGCCCTTGGTTTAAGCGGTTCACTTTTGAGTCCACAGGAAGCCTTAGAGTTGAGAGGATTTTTAAAGAAGGTTGTTTAACGACTCAGTTATCACTCTTTCGTCGTTACCGATTTGCCATCTACTACTTCTTTGGGGCTTTTCTGACGAGAGTTGTAAAGCATGTTGGAAAAATCAAGCTTGAATATACCAGAGAATAGGGGAGACCGGTTGGAGTCATCTTCTTTCAACATTATTGAGTCTTGTTGGTGACTATTTTCCATTTATCGTATGTGATGTTAACTTTTAATATTTGTTTCATTTTGTCGAATAAGTTTTTTTTGTTGATATATCTCAACCTCATGTTAAACATTATATCCTATGAGATAGTTAATCGATATAAAGATTATCGACCGAGATTATATCGACACTATTGAAAAAATAAGAGATTCAACACGTGCTCGTCAAAAACTATATCGAGACGTTACACTGAAGGTCTGGAACTTATTATGCGAGGTATGGGTATTAAAACTCCAGCATGAAAAGTAATTAATATATGAAAGCTGATTCTTAGTTATAATTTTTATACTAACATTTTCTAACTATACATTCGTTTTTGCAAGAAAGGTCCATCAAAAAAGTGTCGCGTAGAAAATTTATATTTAATCATCAGGCTCGAACGAAACTTTTTTCAGTGTCATCGAGAAGAGAAGGTATGAACAATATAATCTATTGGAATTATATTATGGCTTTATACTTTAGGATCTTCTTCTTACTATAATTAAATAATATGTTGGAATAGAAAAAAGAAGATGAGACATGTTTAGGTCGTTCCATTCAAATGTTCTACGAGACACATTTTATCAAAGGAAATGGTTGGGTACCCCGCGAGCCCAAAGTGCACATGTAAGTATTCGTTTAATGTTTTAATACATAAGTTTAAATTTCCTAACTACACATGTTTTTTAGGAATATCAATGCTCATATTAAAAGACTATAAAGAGTCTCAAGGAACACTGAAAACAACAGATGAAGAAATGTTTATGATCCTTGAAAAATAAAATTACATGATAGGAATGAGATATGCACCAAAGCTACTGCAAATTAACGGGGTGTTTGGTTCGCTATTTTGCCATGGTTTATTAAGTTTGGGTTTGTTAAACCTAGGTTAGTTAAGTCTGTGTTTGGTTTGTGGAGGACATAGATTTATTAAGTCTGGGTTTGTTAAGTTTGTGTTTGATTGATGTTAAGTTTGGGTTTGTTAACTCTGTGTTTTGTATTTTGTTAAACTGATTTTATTAAACTTGTGTTCGGTTAGTTGAGTTTTACTTTTCTTTAAAAAAAATTTATAAACTAATTTAAATTATTTAAATTATTTTACAAATGTCAATTTTCTTATGAAATTAGGAAATATTATTTTAAGGATATAAAAAAGATTTTTAATACATCTTGTAAATTCAATTTTTTTCCAATAATTAATTTTTAAAGTAAATATTCCATTATCTATGAAAATACTTTTCTTTCAAGTATTTATCAAAGTCTAAACAAGAGTATAAAAATTCATTCAACATAAATTTGACCGTAGAGAAAATTTTATCAACGATTCATTTAATTTTTTACTATTTACTATCTTAAGTAAATTTGATTACTTAATTATTCTAAAAAACATTTGATTATTTAATTATCATCTACATTTCTATTAAATTTCACTTATTTTTATTTAACAATTACATTTTATTACCAAGTAAAAACCTTTTAATTAATAATACTTGCTAAAACTATTAACTTGATATAAAATTAAAATAAATAATTATACAAAGCTATAACGTCTTTTACAAATGTGATAGATGGTAATAAAAAGTAAATAAAATGGTAGAAACAAAATGAACAACTATATAAATGAAAAAAAAGCTAGAAATAGATACCAAGAACAAAAAAAAAATTCTTGGATCATTTGGAAAAAAACTAGAGGAATTGATTATTTATTACATGTAATTTTAATTTATTTAATTTACTTATTTATAATTAAAATTATAATTAATTAATTTCCTCATTCATTTAATATATCTAATTAAAAAAAATTAATGCATTTTAGAAGATAGAATAAAGACAAAATATATACGGTAACAATTTGGAGAGTAGAGATAAATTACTGTAGAAACCTCGGGGTAGAATAGTATTTATTGTAGCAAACTCGGGTTTATAAAACTGTGAAACAAACGTGGATTTGTCTTAACAGACAAACCCTACTCCCCGTTTTGAAAACGGGAGACGAAACACCCCTAAATGATCAGTGTTCAGTCTTTGAGTCTCGCTTGGTAAAAACCAAGGAAGCACCGGAGACTCAACAAAAACTGGAGAGTTGGTAAGAGTTTGAGAGGAAAATTAGTAAAATCAATCAGGCTATCAAGAGGTTTTGAGAGCATCATAAGGTATGTCCTGAATATTTTTTTAATTAGTTTGATATTTATGTATGACATGAGTTGTGCGGTATTGTGGTTTTTAATTAAGTTCATGTATTGTGATTGTTTTAGTTTAATTAATTGTTGTTGTTTTTTTTAGTACAACAAGTGGGGATGGGAAGATTTAAACTCATGCTCTTTTGGTCAGAGACATGTGCTAATTACCGTTCATCTAAGCTCATGTTCGCAATTTCATTATTGTGTTTCTCAAATTTGAGGTTTAAGTATGCTTGGAGTATGTTTTGTGTTTAAAGTTTTCGAAGGGAGTTGAATCTTACAGTAGGATAGAGTTTGGATCAAATTTTAACGACCATAGGATTTTTTTTAATAATGCTATTTTTAAAACTTATTCCAAATATATGACATTATCCAAACTATTTCCAAGAATAATGATAGTCTTCAAGAGACGACCTATGAATAGGCAGTAGTTTGTCGTCTCTTCGAAAAAATGACTTGCAGACGTGGTGCTTGGTTGGCATTAATGTTGTATGGTCCGACCAATTAGGTAGGAGTCTGTAGGTCGTCTCTTCACATCATGTTTGGTAAATTCAAAAATTGATTTTAGAAAAGCGAAAATCAATGATGCTTAAATATTTTTCTTTTAAAATCATTCATTCTGCCCACTTTCAAACACACCCTTACAAGAAGGGGATAACCAAAGGAGAGACAGCGCGAGCTCCAAATTTGATAATATGGTGATGAAAATTCAAATCCACTATCTTTTAATTTCTCATCGTCATTTGTGATATTCCTTCTCTAAAATTTTCCAAATATTATCCTTCAATTTTAACCTTACCTATGATAGAAAATTAAATTAAAAATATTTATAACACAAAGGACTAAAATATGTATTTTTCTTTTCTTTTTTGTATTTGAAAATTTAATTAAGATTTTAAATTACTTTTTAAAGGTAGAACACTGAGAAAAATTAAATAGTTAAAGACTGATTAAGAAAATAAATTAGTTACTGGAACTGGAGGAGGACCTGAAAATATTTGTTTATGCAAAAAAAAAAATATGACGGGGTATGACCTGGTCAAGGTCCGCCACAAGGAGAGCTCGACCTACTCCAGGTATGACCGTAGGGAGAGCATGACCGACTTTCAGGTATGACTGCGGAAAGAGCTTGGGTTTCCTTGGAAAGGGATGACCAGCTCAAATGGTCAAGGTCGGCTGACTGGGATGAGTTGGTGTCAGGAATGAGCTGAAAGGCCACTTGGCGAGGAAAGACATGCACAAGGAACAAACACTCCGACTCTTAAGTCAGTTTTGAGTCCGACCTTAGTATGGAGGCTGAGCTAGAATACGATACCTGACTAAAGAGTGAAGTGCCCTATTTATAGGTTGAGGTACCCGACAAGGAATCCGACCAACGATTGAGCATGTCGGGACCAAGGTCGGCCTGTCCGGATAGCTATTCCAGTTCATACTCTGTCATCTAGAATTTGGCTAAGTATGGAAAGTCGTTCCTCCCTTGAATTTTCTCAGGTCGGCCATTAGGCAAGACCTTCAGGTCAACCCTCAAGAGAGCTCTTCAGGTCGGCCATCAGGCAAGGCCTTCAGGTCGGCCCTTAGGGGAGCTCTAAAGATCGGCCACTTCAGGTCAGCCAACAAAGGGAAGACCTCCAAAGTTGGATCTTTTTCTGTCCTCCACGTGGCAATACGATTTTCAACCCCCAAACAATATTAATTTCTCCAAATTAAATCTTTATTTTATTGAAGATAAAATTGGGGTTTATAATTGTGATTTGTGAGTTCATTTTTGGAACATTTGTTTTATCATTTATATAAAAAATACAGAACCAATTTCCAACTTGCATCGAATAAACAACCCCCCACCGGCCGTTAAAAATCCATCTGTTTTTCCTAAATGGTTTTGTAACTACCTATTTTTCTTAATTTAAAAAAAAAAACTCTAACTTTTTCCAAACAATAATGATAATAAATCTTA